TTGAGTCAGAACAGCAACTTTTCCCCAGTCAAAGTTGGTGACCTTCTGATTTTATTGAAATTCCTCCCTAGGATTGCAGGGAAACTGATAGCTTGAGTGAAAAATGTTACGAGGAAACTCAGGGTAATCTATCTAACTATCAAAACACTCCTACTGTTTTCTGTGCCCTAAACGTTGATCTCTGCTAAGTATAACACACAGTGTGTTATCCTTATGGAAACAGAGAGATAATTCAGGGCAGTTGTTTACACAGCTCAAAGCTTTAGGGCAGATCGCAAGCAGAAATGCCAGAGACATCTTTGGTAGGTATTGGGAGTGTAAGAGTTAGTTCATGCCCAAGCATATGCAGGGTGGCTTTATCAGCACCTGCTGCATATAAAGCATGTTTTTCCAGAAATACACCTGCTTGTCTCTTTTTTTTTGACTCAGGTGAGTTTGAGCTTTTGTGCCTGATTTACTGTTTGGCGTATCGTTTTGTTGGAGTACTGACACCTCATGAAATCTCCACTGGAGTTAGCTCTTCAGCAACATAAGTGTTTTTGTTCAGGCCCTAACTTGTAGGGTTGTCTCTGCGAAAAGCCCAGCACTGATGGGAGTGTGAGATGCTGCAAGGACGCTGTTATCTGGATGTGTCACCGTGTCCTTCACCGTGGTGAGCAGGAGGGCCAGAAGCTCCTGTGTGCGGTAGGTGCTGCCTGCTGTAGGTCTGTCCTTAACAGGGCATGGCAGTAAGTCAGTTCTGTGTGCAGAGCTGAGCTGTGCTCTCCCTGAAAGAAGTGATTAGGCAAGAATGTCCCTGCTTGAATTTTCAAGCTGCAGCCTCTTCATTAAACAGGCTGCTTGCTGAGTCCTGATCAGTTCAGCCCAGTGGTTTCTGACATTGTTCTGTTTGTGAACACTTAGCTGGTGAAATGAAGCCTACCAACAAGCAGTTGGCTTCCCTTTTGCAACTGTGCTTAGAAGCCCCTTCAGGGACCCCCTAGGAGCCTGATAACTTTGGATAAAACAGGCGTTTAGACTAGGGAACAAGCAAAAGCTGCTCTTGGGGATGAGGCTGTTGGCTTGATGTGGTGTGGGCCTTTTAGAAGGGGTTATGGTGGAGAATTGGGTTGAGGCTCCCTGCATACGCTTCGGGTGCTGGGCCTAGGAAAAAGCACTAGGCAAATCAGCTTGGTAAGGAAGAAGGGAATTTGCAGTCCAGTGCCTTGCCCTGTGTGAAACGGTTGCTCTAAAACGATTCAGTTGTTCCAGCCAGGAATGTGGCTTTGATATGTGAGTATGTGGTGCTTCTGGAGCTCGCAGTACTTTACCCTGGGTGTTCGCTAGCTGAGATTTCTCTGTGCTAAAACCTCTTATTTTATCCTTCTCAAACTGTGTAGATGTCTGGAGTCTCCAGGCTTGGACTCACTTTGAACTGTGCATTCAAAGGAGGCAGTACGAGTGGTCCTGTCTCCCAAGGGAAACTTGGCCAGTTTTCATCTGTCTGGAACCTACGCAATAGATATTATTGGATATCAGCTCCCATCAACACTTGTTCCCTCTGGAACAACATGTTGCCAGCTGTGATGGACACATGAGATCTTTGTCTGGAGCACTGAAGTTGTCTAAGTCAGTAACTCACAGGCTGGTCTGTAGATCCTCAGTTGTCCATGAAAGTCCTCCAAGAACTAAGTAGGCTGTGAGAGGAGGATGTTTTTTTGGAAATGGCTGGGAAAAATGGGCAAGGGACACTTGCCTCTCGAAGCCAAGCAGTGGAAGACCAACTCCATGAGGCACTGCAGGGCATTTTGCTCAACATGTTGGTGATGAGTGTGCCCAAGATCAGTGGGGCCAGGCCTAAAGGAGCTGTTGTTTAGATGACTGCATTTTCCTGGTTGGAATATTCTCTTTGCAAAAGCAGTAATATATTCTCTGCCATCCTGGACGTGTGCCAGCAAAAGTCCTAAACCTTCCTTGCTAGCATCTGTATATAATATAAAGGGTCATTTATAATCTCTGTAAGCCATGATGGGACCTTTCGTCACTTTGTCTGAATGCTGCCTGTGTTTTGGAGACTATTCTTACTGACTTTTGACTGGGAGTGGGTCTGGCTGTTGTCTTTCAGTCTTAGTCCCTGTGCTGTTCAATCTACAGTGAGGGCCAAGCTGTGAACCCTCATGCATCTTGCAATCAGCTCCATTCTGGTTATTCTGCCTCCCCTGTTTACACGCCCCAGTGGAAACCTAAAGCCTGAAAAGAGCATTTATAGAAAAGTGCTGCTAATAATGTGCAAAGAGTGTGATGTTTTGTAATGAGAAGTATCTCTTGCTCTTGGGTGGCTACCTTTGTAACTGAAGTCTCCTCTCTCTTGGGAAAGAACGAATTTAGCAAAATCTGTTTGTATCAGATTCCCCAAATGTCTCTGTGGTTTGACTGTTTTTTGTTTGTTTGCCCTCCAGATCCATGCCGTGGTTCCCAGAACTCAACTTGTAGCTACTTGAAGGAATAGTCTGAGTGCTGAGGTGACAAGTGCTGTGTTACTTTATTGGCCTTTGAATAATCCTGCTGGAATAATTCATCTTTATCTAGGGGTCAGAATAAAATTCCACTTTCTTCTTCACTATAGTCCTGTTTAGACCTGCAAACCAGGTGATAGCTTCAGGCTAGGAAATGGATGAAATGAGAAGTTGGGGGAAGGCTCTCATTTCCTGTAATGATTGCTCCCATTTATTAGGGACGCCAGATTAGGAGATCTGAGGAAATGAACCTGGGAATGTGTCTGTGTGTGTGTGGTGTTTTCAAACCCTTCCTTCTCCCCCTTAAAATGTGCTGGCCTCCGGCATGTGAACTGGGATGTGGGAGCAGCCTTTGCCTCCCGCTGCTGCCTGGGGCTGTCACGGGAGCATGGGCAGCTCTGGCCAGTGACACTGCTGAAATGAAGGCCTGGAGAAGATACTTTTGTAGTTAGCTACAATATTCAGCCTTTCCCACAGTTCTTGATACGGGCAATGGTCACGGTGCCACCTGCCTAGAACCAGGCCCCAAGGTGCTCAATGGAGTGTTAGGCTCCAAAGCACACCAGAAATAATCCTGGAAGGACCAAGCTGAAAGTGGGTCTGTGCAGGAGAAGGGCTGAGGGGGGTATTAGTTAGCTTCTGTAACTTGCAATTTGGACTTTGCGTTACGTGTTAACTAGAGCAGATTCCAAGCTGCCAGATTGCCTTGGGGAAGTGGGAAGTGCCTTGAAACTCTGCTTCTTCCCCATCCCTGCTGTGCTGGAGTGCTATCATTTCATTCCTTTTCCCACCTTTGTGCCTTTAGGAATGCAAAGTTGTCTGGTTTCATGTCAGCTGTGCAGGGCTTTGCTACTAGCACCATTACGTTTTCTTGGTCTGACACAGAACAGTTTCTTCTTCCAGGGAAGCAGCACTGTTGGACTCGAACACAAGTCCATCAAAGTCAGGATTGGAGTGAAATAGTATCAGGTGGGATAATCCAGCGGCACACAATGGGAATGGAGGTTTTTTGCAAATGATTCTTTGTCATGGGAGAAGGTCAGGGTGCATATGTATGCAAGCTATGTGACAGTTAAGGCATATCCTGTGTAAATAAATACTCAATCTATTTGGATTTCATTGGTAAGCTGGAAGAATGCCCTTGATGTGAGGGCAGGTCTTCAAGTACTTGACAAATATGCTCTGATTTAAAATTTTTGGTAACTTTATTCAGAGTTTGTTAGTATCTGTGTCTGTTCTGGATGTGTCATGTGGCTGGTGTGTTATGTGTGCACAATACAGCGTTGTTCTTTCTCCTGTGGTTGGACCAATTCTTTTCCTCCTTGCATCTTAATAACAAACTTGGGTTTTCGTAATTCTGGGACATGTGTTCTTGCCATTGTCCTGTCATGTTCTCTATGTGCATGCTTTGCTTTGCCTCACAAAATGATTTTGTCCTGAGGCTTGTGCAGGAGGGTTGTGCTGTCCCTCAGACTCCGGGCCAAAACATGTGCTTGAATTAAATCCTGTGTATGAAGGAGCGGAAGAAACTGCAGCTACTTGTCCATTTTCCTGCTAGTTTTTCCTTCCATAGTCATATGGATATTCTCTATAGCACAAGGAGCAGTCTGTATTGCCTGATTGCACTGTGCATGCGCTTGAAATTAAAAATAAAAGCTATCCCACTTCCCATCTCTGTCTCTTCATTTTTGTCCCCTAAACTTTGTACCAAAGCTGTGCTGAGCCTGTTGAGGAATCTGTCTTTGTGACTGGAGGCTTTATGGCTGCAGGTGGAGGAGGAGGACGTGCACGTTCATGTTCACCCAGGGTGCAGGATGCTCGGCGCTGCGGTGATCTTTAGAGGAGAAGAGGTCACTTGTGCTTTGTGCTCTTGTGTCATTGGGGCTGAGGAGCAGACCGCTTGCATGCTTAATTTCTGCCCACTCTTGTGCCCTGTGCTGAAGAAGTCTTACTTATTTTCTCCTGTGAGAGAGCATAAAACTCTGTTGCCTCCCTCCCTCCACACACTTTTGTGCCCATTTTCACACTGTCACCTCTCCAGGTTTGTTCAGCATCTGCTTGTTTCAGCCCTGCTGACAGTGAACTTCATACCAGAAAGCACAATTTTCCAACTCTAGTTGTAGGAGTCCGTGGGCTGATACCACAATGAACAGGATGAAATTAAGAAGAGTACAATAGGAGCTGATCATCAGGAACTTTTATTTTTTTCCCCTGAAGTCCTGTTGTTCGTGATAACTAACAGAACTAAATTATGTGCTGTCAAACTGGCTTCTGAGAGCCAAGCAAGAGGCCTTCCTGGATCCCCTGTGATTCAGATTGGCAGGAGTCTCCCTGCAGCTCTTGGTTGGAGGGTCTGGAAAATTAAGACTGAAAGCGTTAGGCTTACTGTAGCTTGCAGAAGAAACTTTGTCTTTTTTTAATCTTTTAGAATTTTATTTATGACAGTCTGATACATGGTGCTGCTTGCTGTGTTCCTGGGACTAACGGGATCCTTTCTCTCCACAGGCATTGGTGTCATTACACAGTTACTCGGACAGTTTCCTGCCAAGTGCAGAATGGCTCAGAAACTGTGATCCAGAGAGTTTATCAGAGCTGCCGGTGGCCAGGACCTTGTGCCAACTTAGTGAGGTAAAAATCTTACTGCCTTCTGTTGCACATACAACTTCCCACTTTTCCTTGGATTGATTGGCTTTTAAGCAATGCATTGAAGGCTGAACTCAAGGGGTCAGATGCTAATCTTCTAATTTATGGTGGTATAGAATCATAGAATGCTCAAGGTTGGAAGGGACCTCTAGAGATCATCTAGTCCAACCCCCCTGCACACGCAGGGTCACCTAGAGCACGTGGCACAGGACTGCGTCCAAGCGGGTTTTGGAGATGTCCACAGAAGGAGACTCCGCAACCTCTCTGGACAGCCTGTTCCAGTGCTCTGTCACCCTATGATTCTATGACACAGGTAATGTGCAATGTGCCTTTTGGAAAGGAATTGTCTCATAGCATGTCTTACTCCTGTATCTCCATATCCTTTCAGACATAGGCAAAAGTGTAATGTCACCTCTTCCTGGATGAGACATGTGGCTTGGAGACAAGGGCTTGTTAAGTTTCCCCCTAGCCTACTATTACCCTGCTGTTCTTTTCAATCCTTTACTTTATTAGGGTCCATCTATATGGAGTGGGGAAAAAATGTGAAATAACTGTGAAACTACCACCTTTCTAGATGGAAAGTCTGCATTGTTTAGCTTTGCCTTCTCTGAAAGGCAGAATAATATTATCAAGCCATCTAGGGAATTGGTGCAGAAAAGCTATTGTGCTCTAAATTTACACCTAGCTTCTAGAACAATTTCCCATGTAGACAAGCCAAGAATTTAACTAGCCAGATTTTGTTCTTTGTTTTTCTTTTGTAACTGCTTCATGAACCAAATAGTGATTGAGGTCGTCTTCTACTTGTTAACCTAGCCAAGGAGTGATCAAACTTTTGATAAGCACTCAGAAATATCCATCTCCCAAATCGGTGTGTGTCCTGCTTACACTGAACTGCTCTTCACTGACACTTATTCATCTGGAATTCACATTTTCCATGTGGCAGTTACCACAGTTGGTTCTCTCGTTTCTGCTTGGCCACTGGTCAGTCTGGGTCTTTTTCACTTGCAATATATCTGCTTTAGTGTCTCTTTGGCTTTGTTTTATGCAAAGTTGTGGTTGAAACACTTAATATTTTACACTGTTATGGCCAAACTTCTGTTGAAGTTTTTTAATTTCCCAGACTTTTTAAGCACATCACTGTCATTAGAAGTGGGTAAGCTTTCAGCTTGTCTCTCAAACTTGCCAAAAATCATGCTTATTTTTCCTGGTTAACATCACGGTAATTGCAAGAGCACCAAGCAACTGATCACATCACTGGTAAGAATCCTTTTTGTGGGCTACTACAGTTACAATTACATATACATTTATGTCTATGTTAATTCTTGCTTTAACCAAGAGACTTCAAAGAATTGTTTGCTGCTGTGACACTCATTCATGGAGTATTTTCAGTTTCAAATGTTGTTCAGCTCATTTGCCTAATGAGCCTAACTGGAGAAAATGCAGAATGGCCACAGACTTCTCATTTTTTCTTTCTGTTTGATAATATCATAGAAAGAAGCCGAAGTTATTGATATTTAAGGCCTTGGTGAATGCTCAGTTGACAGGAGCTGCCTTTCCAGAAGACAGTGAAGGGGGAGCCTCACATGCCAGTCCCTGAGGAGCTGTTGTCCTGGCTGTTGCAGAGAGGGGAGAGCCCCAAGAGCCAACAGCAGTGAAACCAAAATGAAACCAAAACCCTTGGTTTTCCCCTTCATCCTTCAGCGGTTGCTTGTTGTTTTGGCTGTGCATTTGACTCCTGATAATGGGATGAAAAACAGCTGCTGGAATTTAGGATTATTGTGGCATGTAATTACTGTGTGAAGCTTCTGCTCACCCCAAGTCACGCTGTAGATCAAGGTGTCTCCGTGTCAGCACTTCTGTCTTCTCAGGTTTTCTGGAAGTCCAGCTTTCAAGACATGACATGCCCACTTAGGCTCTGTTTGCTACTTAGAAAAGGTCATATATCAAATTACATCTATTTATTCAATTTCTGCACTTGTAGTTACTTAAGTAATATAGAAATACATTTTCTCTTGATATGAAAGATGAAGTCAACCTTTTGGCTATTCTTCTATATGTCTATCAGAGATATTTCTGGTGCCTGTCCTTGAATTATAAGAGGAAGCAGAAGCAGATTCACGTGACATTGTGCTCGACTGTAAGGTACACAAGATATCAATAAGCTATCAGCATCAATCTGGCTTTATAGTATTTCTCTCAGCTTTGACTTGAAATAAACCGTTTTAATCTCCTTGTTTACAGGGAGCCAACCAAACCTGGGAGAGCTTCCATCCTACCAGTGTCTGTTAGCAGGAGGCTCATTAGCAAGAGGGATGCCAGCCAAAAAAACAGGCATCTCAACCATGCAGTAGTAGCTGAGAGGGATGTCCCATTAGAAAAGTTCTGCTCCCAAGCAGATATCAGTGTGGCCAGAGAAGGATTTAAGCCATCTCCTGCTTCCCGCTGATTTGTGTTGTATTTCTTTTCCTTATGGTACAAACTGTAGCCGCAGATCAAGCCTTTATCCTGCCCCTCTACTCAGCCCTGGTGAGGCCACATCTGGAGTATTGTGTCCAGTTCTGGGCGCCATAGGACAAGAGGGATGTGGAGCTACTGGAGAGAGTCCAGCGCAGGGCTACGAGGATGATCAGGGACCTGGAACATCTGCCCTATGAGGAGAGGCTGAGGGAGCTGGGCCTGTTCAGTCTGGAGAAGAGAAGGCTGAGAGGGGACCTGAGCAGTGTCTAGAAGTACCTCAAGGGAGGCAGTGAGGAGGATGGTGCTGGCCTCTTTTCACTGGTGACCACCAACAGAACTAGAGGTAATGGCCACAAACTGAAACACCAGAAGTTCCACATGAACTTAAGGAAAATTTTTTTAACAGTGAGGGTGCCAGAGCACTGGAACAGGCTGCCCAGAGAGGTTGTGGAGTCTCCTTCTCTGGAGATCTTCAAAACCCGCTTGGACGCAGTCCTGTGCCACGTGCTCTAGGTGACCCTGCGTGTGCAGGGGGGTTGGACTAGATGATCTCTAGAGGTCCCTTCCAACCTTAAGCATTCTATGATTCTTTGCCAGAGGAGTATCTGCGAGATCACCAGCCTGGCCACTTCAGCTGTGCAGTGTCCTTGCTGTCTGGTCCCTTGCACTTGGGAAGCTGGCAGTGTCGTCATCCCAGCTCGGGTGGTGTGAGCTGCTCTGTTCCTGCCTCCCACCCCAGATTTTATTCAGCTTGGATGCTGAGTCGTTTTGGAGCTGTCTTGGCTGGGGGTTTTCCCTCAGCAGATCTGCTCTTGAACTCTTTCCATTTGCCCAGTGAAGGTTGGGCTTCTGCGTGCCACAGGATGTGCCTCTGCTTTGTCATGCTACAAAGTGAGCAGGCAGCTTCCCAGCAGTTTGGCTGAAGCTCCAAATGTATTAGGAAAATTGTTTCATTCTTTATCTTTTATCTATCTGGAGGAAGGGATAAGTTGCTTGCTTGGTGTTTGAACAGTAACCTAATCCCAGGGTCTCTGCTGGCTGCCTAGTTGCACCCAGATGCCAGTAAAACTTTGCATCTGTGGTGTAACCATTCTCCTGAGCAATCTGTTCATCACAGCTGTTGCAGGCTCAGCTCTAACGTGCTTAAGGGGCTCTAATGTGCTTAATGTACCTTCCTAGAGGCTCCCAGAGAAGATTGGTCTTGTAGGCCAGACAAGGATGACCTGCATTGAGTTGTGGGAGCTGTTGTGATTTCTCCTGCTGCTGGTCCAGCGATGCTATATTGAAACCACCTGTGTAATGAGGAGGTTTCCTGTGTCTTGCAGTTTCTTATGACCCTTAAGATCAGGACAACTTCTTGTTCTACCCTAGTCAGACAAAATAGTGTTAAATTTTTTGTGCATGGTGATTGCGGACATTAAAACAGTATTTCAGTTGGGAGTAAATAGAGTAGACAATCATGGCATATCAGTTAATGTTATAGTTTTCAGGAGACGAACATTTTCTGCTTCATCTGTGGTGCCTATGAAATTGCCTCCTTTTTGCTGTAGCCTTTGAGAAAGTCTGTCCCTGTAGTCCCTGTAAATCTGGAGGTTTACCTTGAAAGCCATCATCTGGCTTGAGCAGGGATGGCCTCCAAGCTTCAGCGAGAGCGAGGCAGAGGTCTTCCACCACAGGTTTTTAAGAGAGCCGTTAAAATCCGAAACATGAAATTCCTCTTAACGTCAGTTTCAAATATCACCCGAAGGTGATAGGAGGGGAAAGGAGTCTCGCAATGCTGGTAGTCTCTGTGACTGCCAGCTGCTGCATCTTCTTTTCTTTACATCTGTACACTAGCTGGTTCAGCTTGTCTCATTAGAGAGGCTCAACAGAGCCTTTCGATTGATCCTTGCACGATGTGCAGTCTGCATATCAAAAATGCAATCAGTCTTCCTGTTCAGTATTCTTGAATGTAAGGTTTCTTTTTGCTATTCTCACTTTAACAGCACATTGCTGTTCCTGGAGAATTTTTTTCCAGGCTAGTTTTCAGAATAACAAAGCAAGAATTCTGCAGGATCATCCATTTTGGCTTCTCTGCTTTTAAAGACTTTAGTGCTACAGGGTCAGTAGCAGAGGTTGGGGATATGTCACCCAAGAGTTTGGCCTGTAGTTGATGTTTCTCAGTTTCAAAAGTCGTAAAGCCACAGGGAAACCCTTCTCTCCTTTTCTTTCCAGTCAGTCGAATAATAAATCCCAGAGCTTATTCCAGTGCATTAGGATTGCCATTTGAAATCCTGTTATGTAGGAACTCTTTTATGTGTTTAGTTCCCTTATTTCTCTCCAAGCTACAGTCACATGCTTGGAAAAAGAAGCCTGCCCTCCCTCACACCTGGAGTTTGCAGCAGGATGGATGGTCCCATTGCACACAGGACAGGAGCGATTGCAGGTGTCACACAAAGGTGTGTTCTTGGGCTTGGGGCCATCGTTGCTCAGCATGAGCCGTGTGCCACTGGCTTAAAGTGAAGGCATCTTCCCTAAAATCCCTAGGGAAGCTACACAGTGTAGTCTGTATCTGATAGCAGTGGACAGTTACGATGGTCTCTCTGGAGTTGAAGATGATGGTGGTAATAAGTGTTCTCAAGGCCTTGCTGAGAAGGGAATCTCTCTCCTTTTTTTTTTTTTTTTTTTTTTTCCCCCTCCCCACCCTGTGGCAGTACCTTCCCAACAATTTCCAATCTCACTCTTTATCAGGGTAGCCAAGTACTTCAAGATTCCGAAGACCCAAGATGTTAAAATCAGTTTTCAGATCTTGATTTTGCAGAGGAAACTTCAGGTTTCTGACATGCCTGTTAATCAGGCTGTGCATGCCAAAAATTAGGGAAACGACCAAAAGCTTTGTTTTGATTTCTTTTAATGCCTAGTTAGCACTTGTTATAACTGTGATGGATTCTCCCTCTTCAGACACAGTGTAAGAATTATAGGTATAGGGATGAGTCCCCTTAGTTCTGAATTGGTTGATACCCCTCCTCATTGCTGTGAGAAGAGTAGGTGAAAGAAAAGCTTGGATTTCTTGGGGCTTGACGACTTTGCCAGTCTAAGAGACAAGTTCATTCCTTTTTATATTCCACATCTTACCAAGAAGTCTTGTTGAACTATGCAACCTGACTTGAATAAAAATGAACTGAAGCCTCTGAAGACCTCTGGGATCTTCTTGGACGCAAACTGGAATGATTAAATAACACTAACAAAACCATCTCTTGTGTTGAGGAGCTGATGCTGGTCTCTTAGAGCAGAGCAGCACACCCTGGTAGTTAACTTCTCTGTGAAGTGCCTGGAAACTTGCTGTTTAAATGGACTTTGTGTGCTGGGAAACAAAGAAGTGCAGGTTTGTGGCTCGTCCTAACCTCTCTTCTTACTGTGGTTTTGCAGTATTTCTATTCCAATGCTTGTGGTTTGGGTGACATCCAAGAGAGACTTTTCTAATCTCCTGTCGTCTCTTCTCCGTGCATTGCATTTCCACCTCTATTCATTCTAAGATTTCTTAACAGATATCTTTTTCTTCTCCTTTTTGCATGTTTCTTTCTCTCCTCTAGCCTCTCAGCTATCAGAGATAGTGGTAATGCTTTGCTAAAGGATTTTGTTCCCTTTCTGGAATAACGATCACAAAAGCTTGCATGGTGGGATATGGTGATGCATGTGACAGCAGACCATGGTGCCATGTGACATGATTGAGGAAAAATGGTGCTGTGAAGCACAAAGTGGCACTGGAACAAATCGGAGCTAGCAGGCTGGGCCCATGTTGTGTGCTTGACTTCAGCATGATGCTAAACAGAGCTGCAAACAGGACTCTTCCAGGAAATTCAGGGTGGGTGGTAGGCTGTGACAGCTGAGTTCCATGTTTGTCCTATCTTGAAGTCCCTGCTTTTCTGAGGATTAAAACTATAGCAACTTCCCTAATGTAGAACCACTGCCAAGAATCCAGTCTGGCTCAAGCCACTCTCCACACTTCATAATGAAGTTTGAAAGAGCTTTAACATCTTGGTGTTGGCAGAAACACGATTTTTGAAATCATGGTGTGGTTGGAGACTAGCTGGCTCCAGCTGCTGGTAATGGGGATGGAGACTTTCAGGGTCAAATCTAATGGTCTTAGGGACAAAGTCATGAACTCCTGACTGTTGGTTCAGGACGTAAACGTAGCAAGGTATCTTGAGCCTGAAGTTGAGAAGGGGAGTTGGGAGGCTCACGTTCTGTTCTTAAATGTTGCTGGAGCTGTTCTGAGGGGCCCTCAGTAAGATGTTTAAAGCCTCTGTATGCTGGTGCATCTAAAAAAAAAAAACACTAAAGACCTTTTCACATCAATGTAGGGCCAGGTCGTCAAACTCGCAGTGACTGCAGGCTCCTAAGCACTGTTGAGTGCAAAGCATTAGGTGGGACAAGCTGGTTCCCAGGCCCTATTAGGCAAGTGGCTGGATTGGAGTTGTCAATATTAGCAGTAACTGGTGTGCTTTGTGGTAGCCTGGAGGGCAAGGGTGTGATGTCCTAAGGAGCCCGCAGTGCTCCCCATCGCTGGGCAGTGTCGATCCAAGCCCAGGCTGCTGTGTGTTGAGGAGGAAGCTTGTGCAGCCCTCTGCTCTGGTGGCTCTGGGAGAACGTGGGCTCTGAGTCAGCTGGCAGAAATAACAGGTCCCAGCTATGGAAAAATTAGCTTTTCAAAAGCTATGTTAACCAAGAGTAAGATACTGCTCTTTGGAATAACCTTACCAAATGTCACTACTGAGCTATCAGGTATGTCTGCCTGTGTCCCCTGCCCTATGGTGGGGTTTTGGGTTGGATTCATGCAGTTTCTGGCTTGATTTTGGCCACATGCTTGGGCAGGCCTGGGGCAGTGCTCTGTCTCCTCGCAGCTCTCCGCACTCCTGGAGGATCCTCTTTCTGGAGGGTTCGGTGTGCTCCAGTACCTGCATCGTGCATGGTCTTGAGGGGAGAAGCCTAAAGCTGCAGCTTGCAACACTGTAATCCCAAAGCTTCAGGCTTTCCCTATGCGTGCCAAATTCCTTTGGCTGTTAAATAAGAGCAGGAATTTTGAGGAGAGCTTGCAGAGTACAACTTCTGTATTGCTTTTAACTTCATGAATAGAAGCAGTGATTTGTCTGGCTGGGTACTGGAAAACTCTGACTTTGAAAGATGGGTGGTTTAAGGCAAAAGCTGAGATTTATGCAACTCGCCATCTTACTTTGATTTCAGAATCACTGTGGTGTCTTGCGCAGGGCTCGTTGTGTCTGCAGAGAGCTGTCTGGCCTCCAACAATACTTGTTTTTAATTTGGCCCTGGGGATGCTTTGTGCTGAGCCCAGAGCTAACAAATAAACCCTGTGAAACCTCCACTGTGAGAAGGATGCAGCCCTGCTCAGCAATGGGAACTGAGGCACAGGGTGGGGAGGTGACTTAGGCTAAAGACAAAGCTGCAAACCAGGTCCTTGGTGTAGTGGTTTGTCACATAGTCCTTGCTCCTGCTGGGCTGCTTCAACAGCTCAGGTTCAATTGCCTTGTGAATGTGACCTCTGGTGAGAGGGAAGGAAAAAAAGGTGATTCATATATGAGCTGTATTTTAACGGGCACTTACAGGAAAGGAAAAGCTAATCTATCTAGAGGAGTGCTAGTCTGGGGAGGGGACAGTCAAATGCACGTGTAATTCTGGAGCTCTTTTTTTGTGGGAAAAGGGGGCTTTTTACATGACGGACTTGTAGAGGAAGGAGGCCAGAGAAATAGCGTTCTTGTTTGTAGAAAATTTCCCCTGATTTGAGGAGAGCAAACAAGCCCTGAGGAAGCTTTCTGAAGGCTGGGGGTAAGCTGTCTGGAGATGGGAGTGAGAAAAGCCAAGGGAAGTTCCTTGGAAGTAAAGGATCTTAGAGTGGAGAAGTGTTGGAAAAAAGGAGCCAGGGGAGGGTAAGATCTCAAGGAAGAGTTGCATACTGGGCTGGCTCTCCAAGGGAGACGCATCTGTGTGTAGGGTCTGGCTATAATAAATTTTTTAGCATCACTGTGGAGACCAGACTGCTGGGAATCTGGACCATATGCAGAAGGCTGCCTCAGTCTAAAACATTGCTTAATGCCATAGAAGGAGCAAGGAGAGGATGCGGGGGCTGCAGCAGCTTGTGGGAACACGTGTTGCCTTGTGCAGGGAAGGGGGTCCACGATGAGCCCTCCACGTAGCGAGAGCTGTGGGGAAGAGCCAGAAGAGCATGAGGGTTTAGAGAGAAAAACAAGGACTGCAGAATCAGGTCCATGCTATGGTAAACACTTGCTCAGCAATTTTTTGTGTCTCTGCAGCTGGGAGTGGCAGGGTGCTCGGGGGATGGTTCCAGGCCAGAAGATATGTGATGAATTGGTAGTAGCTCTGCCTTGGCTCGGGCAGTGCAGCCTGCTGACTTCTTGTCTGTGTTAGTTACAGGACTCTTATCAGGCCCACATACAAGATGTCCTATCGAACGGTGACCACGCTGGAGTGGAGGTGCTGCCCGGGCTTCACAGGGAGCAACTGCGAGGAGGGTAAGTGACCTGGCCCTTCATCTGCCCTACTGAGCACAAGGGGGATGTGTGCGTGGACCAGCTGGGCTGAGTGGAGCTTCAGTCTTTAATTTGCCCTGTGCCTCTCAAGCATAAGAACAAATCACCTATTGTTTCATTCCCCATCATAATAAGGGCTTTTAATGCCTAGTCGTTCTCCTGAAGGCTAAGCTCCAAAGGTGTCCTTGGGAGAGATACCATGCAAAATACCTGCAAAAAAGGCTAAATGGGGTGGGGGAGCATAATGAAGAAATGAGTACTGGAGTTTGGCCTTTTCATAGATATCTGCTGAGGTAGAGTGTATGCATAACTGGCATCCCCATTGCAATACTCCAGAAAATGTGTTTTCTCCTTGTCAGTGTGCATCTCCTACATATCCCATCCTTCATCACTGCAGCTGATGACAGATGGCTCCCGAGTGGCTACTGGCAAGAGCTAGGCCTGTGAGCTCCAGACCCAATAATGTGTGTTCCCTGAGAACTTTGAATTGTGTTAGCACCTCCTGTTCCCGTTCCATCGCTGCCCCTGTCTTACGGGTGCCACAGGCAGGTTGCCTAGTACACACAACGCACTTCCAAGTTTGGCATCTGATCTGTGATGTTGGAAAAAGCCTTGTGCTTTCTCCGAGTTGGGAAAAAAAGGAAAATCTTCTCCCTTTCTCATTGTGATGGACAAAAAGGGCGTGATGCGCATTTCCCTTTGGGACATGCTCTGGTTTAACTATTGTTTCTGAGGCATAAAAACAAGCCCAGCTTCCCCATTGAAATTCAGGTTTAGGCTCTGTGGCATCAGCCAAATCCCCCTTGTGAGTGTTCATGACCAGAGCCCCCCAGGGAAATGGTGCTGTGAGTTTGCTAGTCCTTCGCCAAGTGACCCAGCTGCTGGATGACTCACATGCACCATCTCCAAGGCGCTGCAGTCTTGTAGCTGGCCCTGGGTTTCTTTGTGCTGCCATGTCTTGGTGTTAATCGCACAATTTGGGCAAATCACTAACGAGGAAATTTTCTTGTTAACGTCACAAAGAATTATGGTTCCAGACAGCAGTTCCCTTTGGGCTGCTGAGGAAACAATAGCTTCTCAGAAGCTTAACAAAAGTCTTAAAAAAGTGGCAAAGCCACCATAAATCACGATCAGCAGGATCAAACCTTGCCTTTTAGCATGCTGCTAAAGGAAGGGAGCCTGGGAAAGGGAAGCTGTTGCATCTGCTTGGCTTTTTACCTGGCCAGGCAGGGAAGCGGGTGACAAGGATTATGGCAGAGCTGTTATTTCCAGAGTAGCTGTGGTTCAGCCTGGCTGAGGATCAGAACAGGGACCTGAAGCTTGTGCGGAGCCTGATGGGTCTGTAGGTTTGGGCAGGTGTGAGATTACATTTCAGTGGTGCTGCTGGTGAAAAGGAGAGAATCCGTCTCCCTCCCGTGGTGCCAGATCCATCTTGGCGATGTTCAGAGGAAATCAAGAAGCCGGTGGAAGCCTCTTTGTGAGAGTCAGCGAGGATCTCGCAGGAGCAGCTCTGTGGAATGAGGTGACAATTTTACGCAGTCAGTTTTCAAGGTGGAACTGCACTTTGGGGCTTGGATAACGGCTGTGGAATGTGAGCAGAAAGCCAGTAGCAAACCCTCCCTTTCATGTGTGAGATTTTACTTTTTTTTTATTTTTATTTTTTTATTTTATTATCCCTCCCCCTTTCTAGTGGAGCAGGGATGTGCTATTTACTTCCTAGGAGCAACTTGTAGTATGCACAGGGACCTCCAACTGGCTAGAAGCATCAAGTTTAAAAGCAAACTGCTTTTAAAAGCAAAAAAGTGTTTAGAAGCAAAATGCTGCTTACATTAATGCTGTTGCTAGTGTCAGTTTGAGTTATAGGTTTTAAAAAAAGAAAGATATTCTTTTTAAGAGCTTTTTTGCTACTTTTGGCAACCCAATGGAAAGCCTCTTTCCTTTCTCCACCCATAAACTGTTCTAAGCGTACATCTGTGTGGGTCTCTGCTGCAAACAGCAGACAAAAGAGAACAGAAAACTGAAACAAAACAAAAACAGAGCAATTAGGAAGCCACAGCAAATTAGCAGGGTAGAGTTTCAAAATGCTTTCATCTTTTTCTTTTCTTGTATTAATTAGATTTCATCTCAATATTTAATTTCAATTGTCTGTCCGACTGGAGGTTCTGAAGTTGAAGGTGTGTTTGGAGGCAGACCAGGCCTGCCTGTGTGTGACTTGCATATGACAGAAATGCTTTGAATATCTGCCAGTCTCTGTTCTTCTCCCTGCCAGTCAAATGGCTACCACAGTATCTCTGGGCTTCCATTTTGTAGAAGATGCCTCATGTTTCTAGCAACCAAATGATTTCCTCATCCCTTCTAGGGGAAGCAACGTTGCATTTTCCCGGGTAGGACAGATTAAGCCAAAAGAGAATGGATTGATCAAGAGCACGGAGGTCTGGCTGGGGAATGGGGTGTGCATGGGGATGTCTATGAGGTTCCTTTTTCAGACTAGTGAGTTTTGCAGCTTGAAATTGGAGAGGTCCTATCCACTGACTTCTACATTAATCCCCAGGAGGGTGGATGATGCTTATTCCTTTTGTGCCATTCTTTAACGGTGCCTTTGAGGGAGCCAACATATGATCCATCTTCCAGATGGACTTTTTTTTAGCTGCCCTTTTGCAAGGTCGTTTTGCCCCTTTTTCTGTGCTCTGTTTCATTTAGCATTTGGTCGGGGAAGGTAGGATGGTGGCAGGACAAATGAAGCTGTGTGAAAGGGCTTGCAGTCATCCAGAGGTGGCAATGCAGCTATTTCCACAGCTTCTGCCTTGTCATCTCCCAGCTGTAGCCAGCTGCTCCGTGTTGGGCAAGGGGATGTCCCCGTAGATGTCCCCAACTACTACAGTCTCCTGATGCTTTTGAGACATGCCCTCACTGAGAAACCTCCCCTTCCCAGCAACATGCTGCTGACAGAGCAAGCTGTTAAATGGAGCTCAAGTATTACAGAGTGTCTTGACCCTTAGCTAACAAGTTTAGCTTGAGAAAGTAATTGCTTAACTGTCACCAGCTGGCAGGCACCTAGTTTAATGGTGAAGGCTGCGTTGTTTAGGTTTAAGTTATCTTGGGAATTTAACTCTTGCATTGCAGCTGTCAAAGAGCAGCAGCATCTGGAGGAAACAGAGCTCTGGAAGTGAGTGCTGCTTCTGCCCCTTGCTTGGCTCCTAAATCACTGCAGTGGGATGGCAGCTTCCAGGGCATTTCCTTTCCCACTGCTCAGGGCACCTTCCCTTCTCCCAGCCTCCCTTTCCTGCCTTCTCTTCAAGCAAGGGCATGCCAGCCTCTGGAATTCTCCAATACCTTTCCTATAGTTGTAGCACAGTGATCAGCCAGTTGAGTAGATGGTTAAAAATCACCAGTTGTCCAGGACTTTCTAAAGAGTTTCTTGCAATTTTCTTGGACAGAGAAAGAGATGCAAACACATTTGGTGAATTTAACTGTCAGTAGATGCTAACTTTTATTTTTCAGTTTGGGGCTTTTTTTTTGGTTAAACTGGTGCCTAAGCCTAGGACAGGAAATGAGCATCCTGAGCCACTCGGGCTGCTGACTGCTGACATGAAGAACACATGGAGGAGGGCAGAGCAGAGGTGAAGAGGTTTAGCTGTTGCAATCATGCATCAAGCTGATGGATTTGAGTCCAGGATGATGCTGACACTTCAACTCTGCCTCTTTTTTTTTTTTTTTTTTTCCCTCCTATACAGCTGAAAGCTCACAGGTAAGTGAAATCTCTAGGGAGAGGAAAAGTGTCCCTAGCAAGTTCAGGGGCTCAGCACTGCTTTAGAGTTAGCAAGCCAGGTGAGATCTTATATGTGAAATTTGTAAAGAAAAATATTTCTTGTTTGTTTGTATTGCTTGAATTTGGGGCAGTAGCCAGTATCCTATTTACCCCCATAAACAAACTGACAGGAGACAGCTTAAATGTTTGGGCCAGAAATGGCTCCAGAGTAACTTTGTACAACTGAAGTGATGCTATTTTGCCTGTGAGGCTTAAATTTTTGCTTGTTTAGTGTGTGGAGAAAGAGAATTTGAGCACCCAATCTGCAGAAATAATTTGAGATTTTTCTTTTTGTTCATTTCAGTTCCTGGAATAATTTTTATCTGCTTTTAATAACTGTTGGTTGAAAATATTGAGATAACACTCAAACCTGTTAGATCCCTGTGCATATAGTTTTTGATGCAGAGCAAGAAAATGAGGCCTTTAGTGCCCTCGATGTGATATAGTGCAAAACTCTCTTACTGCTGGCTCAGAAAGATTCTTGTTCTCAGGAGGGGAAAAGCAGAACAGCAATGCAGGGAATGACTTGTGCTAGCAAATGCAATTATGAGGCAAAATGTGCTGAGGGCATGAGAATGTCCTTCTGTTCAGAGGACTTTAATGGTCACACATTTTCAGATATATCCCTTGGTAAAATAAAAAGAGTGAAAGACTTTAAAAAGAGTGAAAGAAAAATCTAACATTTGGTTTCTCAGCATATTTATTTCTAAAAATTTCATTCTAAAATTTGATTTGAGAGTTTAGTGATTATTAGAAACTGTGTTTATGAAATACATTTTAGGTTGTTGCTTTGAGCCTGAATTTCCTAATAATCACCTAATTAATAAAACAATTGGCAGGTAGGTAGTAAAAAAAAATGTGGTAACTAACTCTATACTAACATCAAAAAAATTCATAAAAGCTTGTCAAATGATCGTAATCATCTGTGATTAAGTTGATGCATGAAAGCATCTTTCTGCTTCCATAGATGTCAGATAGTACCTGCTTGATGTTGTTGTTTGTGCCTGTTGCTTGTGGCTTTTTAAGCTGTATCAGTGACAGCAGCTGAGCCTGCTTTGAGTTCTTACTGCCTTTAACAAAAGGAAAAATGGTAGTGATCTTGAAGCTCAGCAAAGGAGATAAACAAGTAAGGAAAGGCTTACTGAAGCAGTGAGGGATTTCATTACAGAGTTAC